GAGCCCATGCAGCCAACTGGCCCATGGACATGTGAGTAATATAAAAGGCCTATACAGGGTTGGGATGGTGGCTCAGAGGTAGAGCGCTCACCTAGCGTGCATGAGGCACTGGATTCAATCCTCAGCACCATATAAATATAAAATAAAGATACTGTGTCCACCTATAACTAAAAAAATACATATAAAAAAAGGCCTATACAGCAGTCCTCCCTTATGGATGGTTTTTCTTTTTTTGTAGTTTTGGTTATCCATAGTCAATTGCAGCCTAGAAATATTAAATGTAAAATTCTAGGAATGAATAATTCATGTTTTAAATTGCTTGCTGGTTGGAGTAGTATAATGAAATCTTGAGCTCTTCTGCTCTCCCCAGGACATGAATCATGTCTTTGTCCAGCGTATCTATGCTGTATATGCTACCTGCCTGTTAGTCACTTAGTAGCCATCTGGGTTATCAGATCCACTGTCATGGCATTGCAATGCTTGCAGTCCTTGTTTTACTTAATAATGACCCCAAAGTGCCAGAGTAGTGATGATAATAATTCAGAGAAGCCAAAAAAAAAAAAAAACAAAAAAAAACAAAAAACCATAAAGTACTTCAAGTGAAAAGTGAAAGTACCCAAAGTTATTTAGAGAGACCACATTCATGTAACTTTTGTTYGGATTGTTCTGTTTTATTATGGGTTATTTAAATCTCTTACTGCACATAATTTACAAGTTAAACTTTACTACAGGTATGTATGCATAGGAAAAAATAGTATAGAAAGTGCAGTACTAGCTGCAGTTTCAGGCATCCATTGGGGGTCTTAGAATGAACCCCTTGTAGATAAGGGGAGAATGCTGTAATTTTAARCCACCATATTTTGGGGGTGCTTTGATAGTTATCCATAGCTAAYTGACATAACCAGTCAGCCACAGATTGGGAAGGGATGTTGGTGAGGAAGGAAGGGCTGCTAGAGACAAGCATGTGGATAGGAAGACGGAAACAAGCCCACACTAAAAACCTAAAAACAGGGACTCAAAGAGCAGAATGGTCTGGGCCATCTGGGGAAGGGAAAGCAGATTGTGGCACCTCTTCACATCCTGATCACCGACAGAACTTCACAGCACAATATAAGGACACCGGCCCACGTCAACCAGAAGTAACTGARATGTAGCATCCTTTCTTTAGGAGGGCAAGTATGCAAATGATCTTTAAGAAAGATTTTCACTTGAAATAGTTAAAATCAAAAGCTTAAGTATTCAGTGGTCTTTGTCTGAAAAGTTCATTTGTGTGTGAAAGGAAAACTGATACCTCAGGTGGGCTTTGGTGCTGCTTCTGGGTACAAAAGGGAGCCTGGGAAATGCAGCTTGGTCACCAGGATGCTGGGATTCAGGGGCATTTTAACATTTGTGGGGACAATGGACAGAATATTTGAAATTGGGGTGACCTGAAAAAATTGTGCACAAGAGCCAGTCTCCTCTCCCAGGAGGCTCCAGATTAGCAGTGCCATGGAAGCAGAGGAGGGAGCCACCTGAAATGTGGGCTGCAGCACCAGCCTCTGGCTGAGTGGGAGACAGAGAAGAAGAGAGGGCGGGTGGGAATAATTGCATTAGCCTGTCCTGTTGATAAAGGTTTGCATCTGAACTGTCCCCTAAAGGCTCATGTGTTGAAGGATTGACCTCCAGTGCAAGCAATCCTTGTTCAGAGGTGAGGACTGGGGAAGTGATTGGGTCAGGAGGGCTTTAACCCAGCAGTGGATTAATCCATCGAGGAATTACTATTTGAAGGCCTTATTGGGAGGTGGGGAAACTGCAGGTGGTGAACCCTAGTTGGAGAAAGTAGGTCTCTGGAGGTGTGCCCTGGAAGGGTATTGTCCCTTGCCCTGTTTCTTTCCCCTCTGCTTCCTGGTTGCCATGGAGTGAGTGGCTGTCCCCTGCCATGCTCTTCCACCATGATGTTCTGCCTTTGTGTTGGACCCAGAGCCATGGAACCAGCTGACCTTGGACTAAACCCTCTGAAACCATGAGCCCCAATAAAATTTTCCTCCTCTAAGTTGAACTTCTCGGGTATTTGTCACAGAGGTGGAAAGCTAGCATACCTGTGCTCCTCTGAGCAGTGCACACTCGGTTCGTTCCATCTCACACACCTGAATCCTGCTCCTTTCCAAAGCACCATTYGTCACCTTCACATCCATCGTGAGGGTACTGAGGGCCAAGCACCAGACCAAGCTCTTGCCTGCCAACTAAGTACCACTACCCTCTTTCCTTTAAAGAGGTGGAAAGGAGGCACAGAGAGAAATGGCTGTGGGGGAGTCAAACCTCCACGGCTGTCCCCATCCTCTAAACGGTGGTCTATGTGGCTCCTGTAGTTTGCAAAGCTCCTTATTCCCTCCCCATTAGGTCTGTCTGTGCTCTTAACCCCACGCTGACTCTGATCTTTTCAGAACAAGGCCTTTGCTATCACCAGCCTGCCCAAACTCAGGGGACTAAATGGAAAAAATATGGGGAACTCCCCTCTGGGGGATGCAGTCCTGACTAATTACCACTTATCACCTGGGGCGGGCCCAGCTGTGTGGCCCACCTGYGAGAGCTCAGCCTTCCCCTCTGGCTAGCTGCCAGGGCCACCTCCTTGGCCTCACCTCGGTGGAGCCCAGCCAGCTGACAGACAGACCAGCTCTGGGGTGCTTTATCTCCTGCGAACACCCGGCTTCCTCTCCCTCCTCCCCCCTATCTGGGAGTTTCCTTGTGGCTCTAATGAAAAACCTCGTGTCATCTTGAAGAGCTGCCAGTTATTGCTGCTGGGAATGAAACCCAGCCTCTGCTGGGGTCAGGCTCCTGGAAGCTTCTAGCTGGGGAGTGGAGGCTCTGCAGTTGGACTAATCCCTTGATGTGAGCAGCTCTCAAGCATCATTAGACAGTCCAGGTGGGCTCCTCCCTGGGAGCCGGTAAACAAACAAACAATAGGAGGCTCCAGGCGCCCCCCCCTCCCCACCTGGGCTTTCTCCCTGCCCTGGCCTCAGCACACCTGGTTCAGGTGCTTCCTCCACACCCCAGAGATAAGACATAGCTGGCGACTCTCCTGACGTGAACTCTGGGGTCAGTTTGAGATTCTGAGGAGCTGCCAGTGGCTTCACCAGATCCTCAGAGATCAGATGAGTGAACACGAAGATTATCCAAAATGTAGGTTCCTTAGGTCTACCAGTGGATCCGAATCCCTAGGGCAGAGGCTTGGGAATTTTCACCGTTGAACTTGCTTAACGGCCCTTCCTCCCACCCTGCCCAACACACACACACACACACACACACACACACACACACCCCTGGGTTGTGATGCTCAGACCACTGAATCTGGGCAGCGAGGCCAGGGGAAAGGGTCTCCTGCCTCCACTGCAAACTCTAAGGAGCCCTTCCAAGGCCAGACCTTAGCCCTGCTAGCCCACAGGCCTCACAGTGTGCCAGCACATCAATTTCTGTCCCTGTTTCACAGAGRAAGCGGCGTGTAGTTCCTCAGAGCTCTCAGAGTATTGCATTGGAGGTCATTCAGCCAATTTCCTTCTCAGCCCTTCTTTGGGGGCAAAGGCACCAGAGTGAGACATAAAAACCACTTTCAGAGTCTGGTGCTCTGGCCAGAGCCCTGCACGATGATGTGTGTGTGTGTGTGTGTGTGTGTGTGTGTGGGGTAACTCTGTAGCCGGCTGAGTGAGCTGTGACTGTAATTCTGGAACCGGTGGCAGTTGACTGTGAGTGGGGCTCTAATCATTAGCAACCTCTGGAAGCAACTGCTTTAGGGAAAGTAGAAAGTAGATTCTCAGTGGGGGTGATTTTGTACCCCCTCCCCCAAGCCTCTGGCAATGTCTAGAGACATTTTTGGTTATCATAACAGTGGGTGCAGGAACTCCTGGCCTCCAGTAGGTAGGCATCCTGGATATTGCGAAATATCCTATCGCGTATTGGACATTATAAACACAATGAGCAATTCTGGCCCAGAATGTCAACGGTGCCACTATCAAGAAACCCTGGAATAGATATAACATGCCGCCAAAGACATGAATCCAAATCCACAGATGTCCTTGGCCCTCAAAGGCAGAGTGTTCATTCAGGGTTTTGATTTGGGAATGGAATTGTCTTAGCTTCCATTTGTCATTATTTATCTAAAGGTGTGGATGGACCCAGGGGATGACAGGGAAAGGCTTACAGGTGGATCGTGCAGTCCCCTAAACAAGCCGCCAATAAACACTAAGACCCCATTTAAGCCCTTGATTCCTCCAGAAATTGGTCACTGGTTAAACGGCAGCATTTGGATGAACAAATGTTCGGTTCTGGACGGCCTGATTAGATTTATTCCATACGGATTCCCCAGGTGGTCTCCCGTCTTCACCGAAGAGTTCAAAAAACACACCATTTAGTTGATAAAATCGAATCTCCCACGAGTTAACGGAGTGGAACCAGCCACTGGCGCAGATTGAAGCACAATGCTCCTGTGAAAGCCAGGCTGGGGGCTGAGGGGGCAGATATTTTCCTAACAGTTGATTCGATGCAGTTCAGTGGTTGATGGTGTGTGGAAGCGGAACACCTCCGGAGGATCCAATCCCCTCCTGTTTACGTGGCCAGCTCCTCAAAGGGCACACAGAATTTCTTTCCCCTATAAAGTGAATCTGGGCATTTTACAGCTGGAGAGGGAGCGATTCCATTTGAATTCATCAAGAGGCAGAAGGCAAAGAAGCATGCTGGAGCTTTTAAGGACATTCTTCCCTGATTGACAAGGTCCTGGGGCCACCCCCTGAGAAGTTTTAGCCACAGGACATTTCTTGACATCCTTCAAGAGAGGCCTGTTATCTTAGCTCCATTCACACAGAGTCTGCTTCTTTCTTTCTTTCTTTTTCTAATATGTCAGTTTAAGGACTAACTCCATTCTAACTCTCRAAGTTGAACACACTTGTTAATGATAAGCCTGTAACATTTCCCCCCCTCCTATAAACTATATAAGAAGAAAGCAGTAAAATTATTGAGGGAAAACATACCTTTCAGCCACTTTGGACATTTTCAAACAGTGTCTATCAATCTGTGCATTCAAAAATGTTATCTGGGGGAAAGAGAGAACAGAGAGGTTGAAGACCAAAAGAGAATTCTTTTCCCCCCAGTTCATTCCACTAGCCCAGATCCTCCCATTTCCACCAAGAGCTGAATACCTCCTCTGGCAAGACTTCTCCTGCCCTCTGGCTTTGCACGCCTCCAACCAACATCCTAGGATACTTTAGGATTCTCACTCTACAATTTAGCCGAGGGCATGTACTTGCCTGCACTGTTATAATTTAAGTCTGGATTCCCAAAAGCTATTCCTAAAACTTAAAGGCAACATATATTCTACAAAGCTTAGGAACAGTACAGAGTTAAGATGTGCACCGTAAAAAATCTATTTTGCCTGAATTCCAGTGGCCATCCCTCTGCCCACCTTTCACACACGTATTGCCCTGTGTGCTTGGCATKTTTGAATCGATCATCAAAGAGCTCCATTGCAGATGTCTGTTTCTTCTTTCTGACCTAATAATAAATGTGCCAAGGGAAGATACCCAAAAGTTTATTCTTTAAACCCATTCCCCTTCAGAGGCTGGTAAAGCATGATACAAAGAGTAAGCCTCAAAGTTGCCACAGTATTAGTAAATATCAGAAGGGAGTGATGTAATTAAGCGTTCTCTGTTGATCTGGGCTTCTTAGAATGTTAAGAAGATGATATTAAATCAAATCGTGCTCAAATGGCATTGGGATAGGGCTGACTTTATTCTTTTATTTTTAAATACATTTAATGCTGAGGATTTAACTTGAGGGTGCTTTACTACTGAGCTACATCCCAGCCTTTTTTATTTTGTATTTTGAGACAGGGATCTCACTAAGTTGCTCAAGGCCTTGCTAAAGTTGCTGAGGCTGGCCTTGAACTTGCAATCCTCCTGCCTCAGCCTCCTAAGTTGCTGGGTTTACAGGTGTGCACCACCACACCCGGCTATTCTTAAGCTTTCCTTCTGAACCACAGCAATAGCATTGGTGTTGCTGAGCTGGTGGGGGTCTCTGGAAGTGCAATGCACTTTTAAGGGTCCTGGGACATGATCCTCTTCCTCCTCCAACTCCGCAGCAGTGGGTGGGAACCCGGACCACAGGGGTCAGCCCCAGCATGGTGACTACTCATTTTGTACTGCTTTAAGAACTGTTGGTGGAGACTCTTCCAGCTTCTCATGGGTTGTTCTCACTGCACTCAAAGGTTCCAGTCTCCCACTGGTGGATTCCACAGTGGTTTCCAAGCTCTCTCAGTCTTCAGAGGTGAAGGTGAAAGGGGATTTTAAATCAACCCTGTCCTGTCCTGGGAGGGCAGCTGTGGCGAATCACTCACCTGTTTCCGGATGTCCTCTTTTGTAGTTTTCCTAATTGGCTGACTGGGTATGTGCACAGGACTCTGAGACTGCGACTCTTCGGTCACACCGTACACGGACTAGAAGAAGCAAGAATAAGATCATGTACCTTCAGGGTTGAGGGGTGGCGAAGGGTCAGTTAGTTTAACCTCTCATCAGATTCTCCCAGGTCCCTCTATGACATCCACACAAAAGTGACAGGCCTCTGCTTGAATTTCTCAAATGATGGGAACTCTGCCTCTGGGGGCATCTCATCTCATTTTTGAGTGACAACTGCTAGGAAATCCTTCCTTTTGTCAAGTTGAAATGGTCCCCTGGCATGTCACTGTTTTTCCAGATACGGCCCATGAGCCAGCCGACTGTGAAGAATCACCTGGAGGCACTTGGTAAAGACCCACCTCACGGAGCTCCCCCCACACCTGCTGTGGGTAGGTTGAGGATCTGCACTTTTATCAAATGTCCCAGGTGATTCTGGGGCTAAAGAAAGTTCAAGAACAACTGCTAAAGGTTATATGCAAAAAAATCCTTTCTAAATTTTCTGCATGGCAGCAGATGACAGGCCCATCTGGTACCAAATTGAGATGCGGCATTTCAGGTTTTCTTTTTTAAGGGAAATGGATTTCTGGCCTCAGTTTCTTTGCTTGTCTAAAAGCTATGGCTCTTTTTAAAAGTGGTTCCTAGTGTTGGGAAGAGACTAAAGGCCACCTTTTGTGTTAGGAAAGTAACAAAGCCCCGAAGGACACGCAGGGTGTGGCCGACATCTATAAAATCAGGAAGGGTTCCGATAAGGTGATAAGGTCCATGGGTCCATAAAATTCTAGATATTAGAGTTAGAATTAGGGACTTTAAAGATTAAATGAGAACAGTTAAGTCAAGGACTAATAATTTAAAGTATAATTCAGTAGGCACTGTTATCTCAGTGACAAACAAAATACATAGCCGATTGAAAAGTTGTGTGATTGAAAAGTAGATTRAAAAATTCCACACCTGACCTCATGTGACAGGTTACAGTTAAAACACAGGCCCACTAAAAAAAAAATTGTATAAAACTACCTTCAAGGCTATGTGTACATGAAAYATAAATAAATTTTGTGTTCAGATTTGGGTCCCATTCCCAAGATTTCTCATTATGTATATGCAAATATTCCAAACTCTGAGAAACATAATCCAAAACCAGAAACATTTCTGGTCCCGAGCATTTTGGATAGGAGATACTCAATCTCGTGTGTGTGTGTGTGTGTGTGTGTGTGTGTGTGTGTGTGTGTGTGACTTCAGGATGCCCTGGGGAAACCTCAGTCTGGCTTAGCTGGCCTCCTGGGGCTCCTGACCAGCCTGTTTGTTCCCTAAGATGGCCCTCCTGGCCTTGTGGCTTATTGACTGGTTTCATTTCCACCCAACTGTGGGCTCTGTGAGAACCTGAAGCCCAGCAGCAAACATGGTACCCAGCACCCACCAGCCACTCAATAGATACTTCTAGAATTGACTAATAGAATGGTTTCAAAAGTTATAATAGGACAGATTTCCAAATAGAAAATCATTACGTGGAGAATAACAGAAACRGAAGGGCTATTGGCACCAAGAAGTTTGAACTCAGCTCAAGGAGCGAACCTTTTTAACCTTTTGTGGATTCTTCAAACGCCGACATTTTCTGATGTCCATTTCTGTGGTGTTCACACAGCCTGGCTGAGGGAAGAAGATCGTATAAATTATTTAGCCCAAGTAACACCATCAGAACAGACCTCTAGCTTCCCTGTTACGGATATTCATGAAGGTTTTCATTGGGCTATCATGTAGGCTCTTATGTTCCTGTGAGAACGCCTCATTCTGACCTTCTGGTAAGGATGATATGGGGCGGGTATAGTGGAAGGTTTCTAAGAGCAAACTTATTATTCAAGTGGCAAGATGGCCAGATGCTAAAATTTATTTGTAACCTGAATCAGTATTTTCAGCGATTTAACAGATATGGATAGGATGCCAAAGATATCGAGACCAGGTGGAATAAGGGGACGTTCTGCCTTCTTACTTCAGGCCTCATACGGGTAAACCAGTCTGTTTAGAATTTATGGGGCACCAAGTTTTTTTTTTTTTTTTTGCATTTCTGTTTTTTTGGTTGGTGTTTTTTTCTGTTTACAATGGTTCCCAAGCAGAGTGCTAGAGTGCTGTCAGGTGATCCTAAGTGCAAAATGGCTTGGATGTGCCCTAAGGAAAAAAAATACGAGTTAGATGAGCTTCACTCTGGAATGGGTTATGGCTGTGAGTTCCATGTTACTGAACCAACGGTTCATGTGTTGGTTCATGTTAAGCAGGGAGATTTTTACACAGGAACAAACATTCAGCAAATTTACATATTGAACAGTTGACAAAAAATGGGACCAGAGGCTCACAGGAACCCAGAGCTGTTCTTCTCTAGAGTGGATGCTTCAGTATTCACTAATTCAGTGTTCACAGATTCCTTATAAAAGGAACAGGACACGACCACAGGACCACTACCGTCAGCGGCAAGAGCTAGCTATACTYGAAAGACAAGAGTTTAGAGTTGAAAGACAATGGAAGCGGAAATTGTTAATTTAGGGGAATGTCAACTTCTGGGGCTCAAAGTTTTCCCGGTAGAATCCTTATCACTCCTCCATTTCCATTTCCATATTTTCATGAATGGATATTTTTTTAAAGGGTGGCCAACTGACATATTCTGGAATATCTGCTGAGATTTCATAAATGAACGGCCAAACCGTTTTACAAAGCATAGCACTTTTTAAAAGAAAGAGACACCTGATCACTAGAGACAGCCTTTTATTTGTAGAGAAGAAAACAGGAAAAATGAAAACACACCCACCCACACACACACACACACACACACACACGGAGAACTAAAGTACGGCTTTCTCACCACTGGTCTGTGGACATCCCAAAAGGCACGTTCCTGACTATCCAAAATTTTCCGTTCCGTCTTGTCCTTTTTCCGATCTATCCTGAAAGAGAGGTAGTAAGAGATTTTTGTCCCCACCCCGACCCTTGCCCCAGTTCTCTGCTCTCATTTCTAGAAGCGAAGCTGCACACAAGGATGTGGTCCCTGCCCTCTGCAGGTGTACGGTTCCCTCCAGGAAACCAGGGCAGGCTTATAGATTGCCATATAGGTGCAAGAACAGGATGGACCCATGGGAAGAACAAGAATGAAGTTGTCCCCTAAAGTGTCAAGATCTGGGTTATTGAGAACTGAATTACCCGTTGACACACCCCTTCCCTTTGAAGTGAATTCTGACCTCACACGTTTATAAGAAGGAATAGAACTACAGGTTTGGCAGTGTTCCATCTCAAATCTGAAAGTTTACTTTAGATTCAGAGCCAGCAGAAATGTCTTGAAAATGCTGCAATTACGTATTTTAAAAGTCACTGAAGCCAACTGGTTTTCTAAAGGCAGAATAATGGCCCTAGCCTGTGACAAGATTTAGAAGGTAAACATAACCAGTCTCAGGTGGGGGAGACAGAAATTGCAAGAGAGAAATTACAGGTGACAAAGACAAGATTATTTATGTTCCAATCAGCAGCCTAGATAAAAGACTTTTTTTTTTTTTTTTTTTAAGCATGTGTTACTTCATATTATCTAAGTAAAAAGCAACTCGGATTAATTGCCGTGTAACTTCTGGTTCCCGGCTCTCTTGGGAGCACTTTAGTTTACTGGACTGAAATAAACCCGTAATCACCCCATGATTTTTGTGATAATTACTGTGTACTTAAATGGCCCACAATTATAATGCAATCACAGAGTTAATCAAAAAAGTTAATGGAGAAACGCCATGTATGTACAAAGGGCCGATGTCGATGTCCCCTCCCTTTATAACATGTGATGCCAATTGATTCTGCAAGAGCAAATTTGTGCTCCTCCCTGCTTCCCAGTGGCTTCTGAGTAACCAGGTTCATTTACCCTGCAGCCCATACAAATCCCTCTTGCTTCCCACCCGTTCTCCCACCTTTGATATCCCCAGACAGTGCTTATTGCAGCTCAACCCCAGGGCCTGTGCCCACCTCCTTCTGGAACTGCTGGGAGAATTAGGGTGATCACCAGGTGGCTGGAATCCTGGGCAGGGGACAGGCAGAGACTGCAGAGGGAGGGTGACAGCGATGACCGCATATAGAGTACTGGACCAGCTGACTTTAGGTCATTTCACAACTGTGTCCACAGCTGCGATCCATCCTCACCACGCAGCTGAGACCCAGCTCTAGGGGATGCGTGATGCCACCCGTAGAGCGTGAAAGCCCWCGGGGCCTGCTCATATGCAAGTGGCACCCAGAAAAAGGGGACTTGTATTCTCCCCACTCCACATCCCTGTCCCAGCCCATCATAGTCCCACTCTTCCTACGGACACTGCTGTGGAAAGCAGATCCCATGGGAAAGGACAGGGGAGACCCTCCCACAGCAATGCCACGTCCCAGAATCACATGGATCTGGTTGATGGCTTTGTTTGTGGCCTCGGGGACATTTATTCCTCCTTCTTTATATTTCCTTTGAGAGGAAGGAATTTCTACTATATATATTCAGGGAGGGGAAAATATGAAAAAAAATCCTTTCAACTTTTTTTTTTCCTTTTCTTCTCCTATTTTTTTTTTATTTTTATGGAGGAAGAATGAGTTTACTTATTGGTGAATTTGAAAGAATAAATTGAGAATGCTCAGGCTGATCCCTCTCTGCCCCCGTCTGGGTCAGTCTGTGCGCAGGATATCCCTTCTCTGCATGCAGTAAACTTAGATGGGTCAGCTCAGCTCAGGTCTGGGAAGGAGCCCTACAGATACCTGTTTTTGCCCCAGAAGATTTAATTTGGACCTGAGGCCACAGATCCAAAGCCACACTTTATCATCTTTCAATTAATGGACTCCAAATGTTTGACTTCTGCGTCTTATTTSACAATTGATTTTAAACTCCTACCCTTTAGAGAATAGAGAGTGGCTACTTGTCTTCTCTAAAATTTCAACATGTTTTCCTCTGAGAACCAAATCTCCAACCCTACTGATTAGAAATCTTGGACAAATAGCTCTACATCTGGGAAGGTCCCCTTGCCTACGGAGGCACGGGCTTTTGAAACTATTACAGAGCTGCGTTGGTTCCCAGGATGAGATTCATCCATCCTGAGCTCACTTTGTACTCACTCTCTACTGTTCTGCCCTCCTGAGAGATCAAAGAGATGAATGACAGCTGGAAGCCTCCCTTCAGCAATCCCACCCTCACACCGTCTGTCTCCTGCTTCAGAGAGTCTTTTTCTCTCCCAGAGGGTCTCTGTTAGGTTCACCTACTTCACTTGCGCCTCTGCTTGCATAAAGATGAATTCCCACTTCCTTGCAAACGCCCTCTGGAGTCTTGCTAGGTTTTCCTAGGGAGAAGCGAAATCGACGAAAAGGCATTAATCTTCGTAAGTGAACTCATCGACACCCAGGCTTATTACAAGGCGGCCATCCATTTTGGTTACCCCCGACAAACAGCRGGGCCCTGCATTAAGTCCGTCGGACATGAACACAGTTTGACTTTGCACCACGCTCTGCGTGTACAGAGCTGCACTATTAATATTCATTTGTACATCCATTAAGTTTGAAGTCTCTGTGGTTCGCCGGATACCTGTCCTCTGGTGTGTTTTTAGAAGAACACAACTCACCTAGCCCTGGTTATAAAGGCTGCAGAACGTAATGGTGTGTGGCTGCTGGGAAAGGACAGGGGCTTTGCAACCTGTTGGGTCTCTCCAAGAGCCAAATCAAAGATGTACCTCTCAGGGACAAGCCTGGGAGGTTCACGGGAGAGGAGAACCCAGAGGACTTGGCACGAGCGATTTTTAAAGTGAGGATTCCAAAGTGGACCAAAGGGGGTGTCTCTCTTTGTGATTTTCATAAAAGGATAAGCCCCCAAAACAGGAGAAAGGAAATCATCAAGGGTTGCTTTTAAAAATAATAATAATAAAGTATTTTCTCTAAGTCTGCAGACTTAGCTAGTGGAACACTAGGATTTGGTGAGGAGGGGAGTTTGACAGGCCCCTTAATGATCCTCCTAATTCTGATTAATGCAAGGCCAGAGCCCACATKATGCTATGTATTTTCATAGAGCTCATGCCAACACTAATTGATTACCCTCATTAGTGGATTATTAATATAAAGGGAGCTTCAACTGAAGAGCATCACACATGAACTCACAGCTATTACCAAAGCTTGGTGTGCAAGTACATCTAAAACTCTGTCCTTTTGACTTTCCACTGTTTCTAGGAAGCCAAGCTGGTGATGACTAAGTGTCCATCAGTTAAGGAGAGTTACATGAATGATGATAAAGYCACACCATGGAATACTAGGCAGCCATTAAAAATGATACTGTAGATTAGTATTACTGRTATGGAAAAATCTCCCCAGAAAGTATCGTATAGGACTGGGAGAGAAGTACCAGATATAGTAATGTTTTTGGCATAATTCTATATTTTTTTTGTAAAGAAAAAAATGTATGCATAGAAAAACTGTGGTGGTGGGAAATCACAGGTAACATAGGTTGTTCTCTCTCCTTTTTTACTGTTTGAATTTTTATTTTCTACAAAGGGAATATAACCAGAAAATTTTAATACAATGACTGCATTTTGAAAACAAAATGTTTTGTTTGTTCCTAATAATTTTTGTGCAGAACCTACCTCCACTTGAAAAAATCATGCGGTATTCTTTACAAATACCAGAGCAGAATACTACAGTGCAAGAGAAGAGAAAACCAAGTAAAACACACCCAGAGACGGTGCAGTTATACTTCTAACCGTGGGGTACATGGGAAGAGAAACAGGAGGGAGGGGCTACTTCCTTGGCAGTCTGGATCTTTCCTACAGGTTGTGTCAGGGAAGCGATGGCGTCGGGTTCAAGTTTCTTGCCCTGGTTACAGAAAGAGTAAAACAGCCTTGGGAAGAAGGGTCATGGGGCTTCTAGCAGCATCAGGGAAGACAGCGGCAGAAATGAGCATCCAGGCTGCAGAACATAATGGTGTGTGGCTCTTGGGAAAGGAATGACACGGGTACCAGGCCAGATTTGCTCGGGGAGGTCCCACTGAATGTCCCCTCATAGGATCTGACAGGCAGACTCCGCCAGGTCCCAAGCCTTGGATGACCTCCTGTGCTCTCTCCTCCCATTCACAGGTCCAGAGGCCAGAGAGATCAGAGAGGGCTGGGAGCCCTGGGCAGGTCCCACTGGCACCCACGTATTTGCTTTGGGGAGCGAGGGTGTGGTGGCTTGGAAAGCTGGGGCATAGGTCCCCAAGAGAGGCAAGGCCTGGCGGGGGACCTCATCATCCTTGGGAAGACTGAGACAGTGCAACTGGAAGGTGAGAGGGGTCTGAAGATGTTGTTAATGCCAGACCTTCCAAGGAAGGATTGTCCCCTGCCCTTAATGTCGCCTCTCCTCCCACGGTGGYTGGCCCCTCCGTCTTCTCGTGGCTCAGCAACACCTCTGCTGGAGATGATGGAGGGACTGGGAAGTGGAAGGTTCACAGATTAGCCAGTTTTCCCGATTCTCTGCACTGCATAAGAGTTCAGTTTGGGGGCAAGACTCTGCCACCCAAAGTTCAAAGATTGGTCTGAAGCTCCCTCTGAGTCCTCAGGCTCGCTGTGCTTTGTTAAGTGAGAATGTCTAGGAGCCTGGGGTGGACCTCTGGTTCCTGCAAGGAATCCCATCTGATGAAGGAAGACGGGGAGGAAGGTGAGAAGGTGGAAAAGGAGACAGCTCTGTACTATATCTTCCCTTATTTTCTGGATTGAATTTTGTCCTTAGATTCTGCAGGAGCGTGAGTTTAAAGATACAATTTTAAATTTCACTGTAGAAGATCATGACACAGTAAGTTTGACTTTTTAACTTTTGCAACAGTTAACAGTTCTGTAGCTTTTTGAAAAATGATTCTTAGTTGTTGATGGACCTTTTATTTTATTTATTCTTATGTGGTGCTGAGAATGGAACCTAATGCCTCAGGCATGCTAGACAAGCACTCTACCACTGAGCCACAACCCCAGCCCGCAGTCCTGTGACTTCTGACCCATGTGCAGGTTCATGTAACCACCACCACAATCAAGATACAGAATAGTTCCTCACCTTCTCTGGATCTCTCCGGTTATCACTTAATGGTCACATCGTCGTACCCCACCCATAATCAAAGCCACTGATTTGTTATTTCTCATSATAGTTCTGTCTTTATAAGAATGCAGTATGGGGCTGGGTTTGTGGCTCAGTGGTAGAACGCTTGCCTAGCATGTGGGAGGCCCTGGGTTGATTCTCAGCACCACATACAAATACATAAAAAGAAAGGTTCATTGACACCTAAAATTTTTTTAAAAATGCAAAATAAATGGAATTACTGACTTGAGACTGATCCCTTTCATTCAACATAATGGGTTGGATACTCAGCCAAGTGATTGTGCATACCAATAGTTCCTTCCTTTTCCCTGCAGGATAGCATTTCCTTGCATGGACATGTCATCCTACTTTATCCATGCACCTGTTAGCGCACATTGGGTTGTTTTTAGTTTTTAGTTACCACATATAACTGGTGTGGATCTTAGTGTATAGGGTTTGTGTGAAACATAAGTTCTGATTTATCTCGGGTATGTGTGTAGCAGTGAGATTACTTGGCTATATGGTWAGTGTATGTTTATAAGAAACTGMCAAACAATTTTTCAGAGTGGCTGTACCATTTTGCCACCTCACCAGCAATACAGGATGGTTCCAGCTGTTCTGCATGCTCTCCACCACTTAGGAGTCTCAGTATTTTT